ACCAAACATAGCAATAAAAAGAAAAATTCTATTTTTTTCTTTTAATTTTTTTTTACAGATAGACATTATACTCCCTAATATTTGTACAAATCCTAGACTGCCAGGTCCAAGAGAATTCGCACCTTAAATATTAGTCATATAGCTAAAGTCATATATAAATATCAATTATAGTAATTTTTTCAAATTTTCAAAATAAAAGTTAGACATGTAAAAAAAATAGATCGATGGACATTGAAGATCTCTTGGTTGGGCCTAATATTTTTATAAAAAATCGGATTAGGTCAGTCTTAAGAAATAATATATCTATTTTATTTAACCAATATTTTTTATTTGTTTGTAGAATGATCATAAACTCTATATTGTTAAATGTAATGCAAAACTCTTTTAGAAAAAAAAATTTCTAAATCTAAATAAATTCGAGCTTGGGATAAATAATTTTTATTTTGGATCGGGTTTTTTGGGACAAATAAAAAAAAAATTTGTCTAGGATAGGGCCCATATTTTTTTATAAAAAAATTTTGGGCTGGGCATTAGGCCTGCATATCATTGTGAACATTGTGTCGTATTTAAAATATAAGTTTAGCTATTATATTTTAGGAAAAAAATAATTGTAAAAATATTTATAACTTTATTTAACTAATGAAAATCAACGGGAAATTATTATTAAAATAAACATATTAATTAAATAATATCATACATTAATATATTTAATGGATTTGAATAAAATTTGACCTTCATCTTTTCTTTCATGTAAATAAATGCATGAAATTTTTATCCCGGGAATTCGTTTCCCTGTTAAAAATCTATTTTTGAAATTTGTTTCCATGCTTATACATTCAATGTTGCTGACCACAGAGATATAAATTCTTCCATAATTGCATAAATCCATAGATAGTACATGATTAAGGACGTTGCAGGCTTGCTCTAGCATCTAACATCTTAGTAATTCTCCCCTTAACTATCGCAAGGAGTTTTACCATGTGCAGTTGCAAATAATACCATTCTGCTTTGATCCCAAAATCCTTCTCATAGTTGTAGTGGTTTATAAAGAAAAATTGTTTTTATACTGGGTAACATCTCCTTCAGAAGTATATGATTATTGAATTTTTTCCGGCAAGAACTATAAATTTTTTGATTAATTGATATGCTAGAACTAATTTGTATCATCCTCGGAATAACACATCTAAGATCATGCTTATTAATTTTATAAAATTATGACAGTTGTTAAAATTGGCTAATGAATACGTAATTTAAGAAGGTAATGTAAAATTTATCAATTCAAAATAACAACGGTTGCTCTTGGAGCTTTCAATATTATTTTATGTCAAATATAATTATTTTGTTTTATTCTTTTAAGAAGATTAAACTTTGGGAGATTTATTTTGCTAAATATGAGATTTATTTGTTATAATAACCCGAAATTTTCTAAATGATATTTAAAATGAAAATATATTTCTGACGATCACAAAGATAATTATCCGACAAAAAGATAAACTACACCGTTCGCTCGCAGAGTTGTCAGTCAAAAATTTTGAATCTAAAGAGAATTTTTTTATACGAGGCGAAGGTCCATCCTTGGGTGGGGTGAAGAAATTATTGGGCATTGCCTTACTTTTCATTATCTTAGTTGTTACTTTATTTCTTTTTCCAAAATTATTATTAATTATTCCCTGTAATTTTTCCAAATTAAGGTGTTTTGCATTTTTATAATATAATACAACTTTAACGTTTTTAATATTTAAAAATACGAAAATAGTCGGGGTTTAGTAGGATTTAAGTTTTAATTATTTTTTTTGCATATTGATCACTTTTAAAATAATTTACTATATATTTGGTATAATATAAGATATACAACATATTTTTAAAGTGCAATAACTCTTGGCCCAGTATTTGTCCCAATCTATTTTGTACAAATATTATTCAGTATAATGTATATCTGTAAAAAATATTTGAAAGAAAAAATAATTATTTTTTTATAGCTATTTCCAGATTTCTATTTCTGGGTTTTGGTAAACGGCTTATTTTCAATAAAATAAATTTTATATCATATTAAATGGCTATTCTAGAGCTATTTAATAAAATTTAAATTATATTTATAGCTTAATTAATTTTATGAGATATTTAAAATTAAAAGAAGTGTATTTTCAAATTTTGGCGTTTATTATAAATATGGGAATATATCAAAATGTAAGCCGATTTGAAAAGTAAAATTTTACATTTTGAGTTAGTGTATATACCACAAATTTTTAAAAAATCGAAGGGGGTCGGGTTGAAAATCACGTTTTTTTGGTTGATTTAATATGGAATATCAAAAAGAAACAAAATAATTTTAAAAAAATTAAAGGTGTAGGGTCATCCAAGGGGGGAGTAGTTGTGAAGTTAAATCGACAGATATCTTAAAAGATAAAACTCTTCATTTGGACTCCTGAGTCTACAGTTATTTTTACGTGGCCTTTAATCAATTGGGGAGCCTCGCCCTCAAAGATACCTGATGTCTATTAGAATATAAATTTCATTTTAAAGGCCGGAGTATTTGCTTTTTAAGGTTTCAATGTGGGATTAGGCAAAGTGTGAAATGTTTTATTTAGCTGTGAAATCAATATAAGTATAATCATTTTTTTTATTACATCAAAGAAATATTTTGCGATGTATTTATATTTTTATTTGTTTTATATTTAATATCGTGTGCTTTTTGTTAAATACCAAAAATACTTATAATATATATGTTGTATTGATTTTGGCCACTATTGATTTGTTACTTTTCTTACTCATCACCAATTATGATTCATCTAAATAATTACAATCATCTGTGATTCGCCACCATTTATGATTTACGGTAATTAGTCATTTGACCATCGGTGATTCCAGTCATTTGTTACAGGTTAGCCAACTAGTTATTTAATAAAATTTGAGCAAAAATTTACTTGAAAAATTTATATACACCTAACTGGTTGCAAATATGAAAGACGTGAAATAGGTGGCGAGTCAGGCTCAAATTTTGAAAATTTTATTAGATAAACTTAAGGTTCCCATTAGTTAAATCGCTATCTCGTAAACTTTATTCATAATAATATTAATAAAAATACCCAAAATCGGTGCTAACAAAATAAAAGAGGATATGGTTTAAATGGGTTTTTTGTCGAATATAAGCTATCGTCTACAAATAATCCGCTTACATTATTGAGATCTTTAAGATGCTTGCTATCATAGCCAAAATATAAAATAAAACTATCTAATCCTTATTCTAATATTTCCCTTCTCTAAAAAAAAAATTCAAAAAAGTGTCGAATGCATTACATTTTTTTAATGAAACGAATCTTATTATTTATATTAAACAAAGATATAAATATTAGCTCTGAGTAAAATTTCCTATTTTTATTTAAACCTTTCAACGCGTTTATCGATTTTCTAAAAATACTCATCCTTATTAAATTAGACAATCTAAATTTTTTACAACAAAAAAAAACAGGTACGATTACCCATATTTAAAAAAATATTTTATTAAACATTAAATAATAAAATTATTTTTTTATAAAATTATAATCTATTATACCATAATGTTAAATATTACTTCTAATGATGTAACAAACGATAAAATAATTTGGTCTTCAAGTCTGATTTGACATCTTAAATAATTATCTAAGTTGTATTATTTTGGAAACTTAATATATTTTAATGTATTTATCAACTATACTATTTTTAAAAGATTACTTAAAATTTAACATGCCTACAATTTGCTTAGAAATATTTTAATAAATACAAAAAAATCGATATTAAATAGCAATATTATCACCTGTATTGATTTTTTTTTTGCCAAGTTTCATTTACTATATTGATGCACGGAATCATAATGATATTATTAATTAATATATTAATCATATAAATTATATCACTAATAATCATTCAATATAAGTATAATATTGTTATAAATATATCATTTTGAGGTAAAATAATAAAACATTATTTATCTGTCAAATAGTACATTGTTTTTGCACAAATATTTTATAAATTAAGTTTGATAATAATATTTATTTACTTCATTTTAATGCCTCAATATGAAAAACATGAGGAATAATGGAATAAAGTTCATTGATTCTAACGGCGAAGGTGCAATAAATGAATCTGGGCTTAGAATATTTAATAATAATGTCAATAACAGCGACAAATATTGTTCAACAGGGCCTCCTACTTCTAGATATATTCGCAATAATAAAACCTATATAAAAAATTGTAATTATCCTTCTTTAAATAAATCTTCAGACGAATTTTATTTAAATGTTCCACCTACTCCACCATCTTCTTTCAGTATTTCAAATAACACTAATGATTCAGCTTCCCGTACGAGTCAAAACTGTAATGACAATTATTTCGATAAAGAAATGCATTTAAACCCATCAACAGAATATTTGATAAAAAATTCTAAACAGTTGAAGGGGACAAAAAAAATACCGGAAAATTTTAATCTAGATAATTTGGCCTATTTGTCATCACCTGGTTCTACCAGTGAAACAGAAACCACTATTGATACGATAGCTTCAAGGAATAACTCTCTCATTTATAATAACGTTGAATTGATTAACACAATCAAATCCACAAAAAATTCATCCTCCCTCATGCTAAATGAATTATATGATGCGCCGTCGATAACGGATTTAATAATTGTGGAGGAGAAAAAAATAAAGCCACAAAAACCATATTTAGATTCAAATCACAGGCGTAGATCTTCATTATTAGTTAAAAAGGTTTCCTTAGCCCAATCAGAAAAATTCCCTCTACCTTACACTATAATCGATAAAAAAACTCCTATTTTTCTAAATGATAGGCAACATTCAATAAATTCGATAGTCCCCTATAATGATAAAGTACTTGCTGATTCTCCAGCAAATCCTATGACTTCTAATCAATACAAGGTTGAAACCCAAAAAAATAATGAATTGAAAATAAATAGTTTAGAACATGCCAAAATAAATAGTGATAATGATGAAAAAATAGTTGTAAAATCACAAAATTTAGAAGATGATTTTAATGATGAAAAGCAACAATTGAGTTCAAGGGATTTTGAAACTGTTGACTTCGAAGAAAATCCTGTTTGGGTCTTTGGAAAGTTGATCAAATCTATACAAGTTATATTAATTACTATTAATTTTTTTTAATATCTTTTATATTCATCATAAAATCATATTATTTAGTTAATTAAAGATTGGGCTGGCGGTAAAACTCCACAAAAACTAGAAGAAGGGCATGATACATTTTTAGAAAAATTTGCCATGATGACTGGTGAAAATGAAATACAAATAAAAAAATTCAATTTTAAGGACAAGTAATTAATATTTTATAACCGTTACTGTAACTGTCAAAATTTTAGTTTTCATTTTAAAATTGATATTTTTAATAATAGATATTTATAATAAAAATTATTTATGATTAAAGGTCACAGCTTTACTGGAAAAGGATTATAAATCCTAAAGAATGGATCGTGGATCCAGCTAACAACCCTTACTATTATTGGTGCTTATTTGTTACTATGGTTATGATATACAACCTAGTCTTAGTTATTGCCCGTTGCGTTTTTTTAGACTTGCAAACACGATACAGAAATGTTTGGTTTATACTCGATTATTTGGGAGACTTTATTTACCTTTTAGATATAGGAGTGCAATTGTGTACAGGTTATTTAAAATATATAAAATTTGTATAAAAATCATTTATTTATATTGCATTTTCCTTAATAAATAATAATATATTCCCTATTTTAAGTTAAGCCATATATTTAATATTTATCATGAAACAACTATAGTTATGGTGATTATAATCGAGTATATTATACTTACGGTTTGCCCACTATTGACTTCTTAAATTCAAAAGCTGATTTTTGTATTGAACAAATAAGGCAATTTTTAATTTTGGATTGGTGTTCCTTTTTATAGATATAAAAAAAGAGAAAATCAAAGCCTAAATAACATGTATTTAAAATATAATATTATTATATTCTGTTAAAGGTTACTTGGAACAAGGTTTGCTCGTGAACGAACACTCCAAGTTAATGAAAGCCTATATCAAAACTTGGACATTTAAATTTGATATCATATGCATTTTACCAACAGATTTGTTGTATTTACATTTTGGTCGTGATTGGACAGTAGCGCGCTTCAATCGTTTATTTAAATTTTCGCGATTTCGAGAATTTTTCAATCGAACAGAAAGTCGTACAAATTTTCCTAACGTTTTTCGTATTTTTAATTTGATGATATATATCATCATAATAATTCACTGGAATGCTTGCATTTATTTTTACATCAGGTTCAATAAAAATCTAAATGAAATATATTTTAATATTTGCTTAGCCTCAAAATAGGATTAGGATCAGATGGATGGGTTTATAAAGACATACACGAACCTGGCTGGGATGATTTAACCACAAAATATATTTACAGTTTTTATTGGTCCACTTTAACCCTTACAACAATAGGTGAAACACCCCGACCAGAAAGAGATGAAGAATATTTGTTCGTAGTTATTGATTTTATGATAGGTGTTCTGATATTCGCCACCATAGTAGGTGATGTCGGGGCTATGATGACTAATGCTAATGCCTCTAGGGCCGAATTTAGAAACAAAATGGATGCCGTGAAGCGCTATATGGAATTAAGGAAAGTACGAAAAGATTTAGAGCGACGAGTTATTAAATGGTTTGATTATTTATGGATCAATAACCGCCATAGTTTAAACGAAGAAGACACTATATTATCCAACTTACCAGATAAACTGAAGGCCGAAATAGCTATAAATGTTCATTTAGACACCTTAAGAAGAGTAACTATATTCAAAGATTGCGAACCCGGGCTATTGGTTGAATTAATATTGAGGCTAAAATTACAAGTTTTTTCGCCTGGTGATTATATTTGCAGAAAGGGAGATGTAGGTAAAGAAATGTATATTTTAAAACGTGGAAAACTGAATGTGGTATCAGAAGATGGAAAAACTGTGTATGCCACGCTTAGTGATGGAAGTGTCTTTGGAGAACTGAGTATATTAAATATTCCGGGAAACAAGACCGGTATGCTCAACTTTGAATATCTGTATGATTTTTTAATGCCTATAAAAGTAAAATAATTTGCTTTTGATTGAATAAGATAAATATAAATAGAATTAGATCTCTCGAAGTAAACCTTTTCATATCAAACAGATTTTAAGTGTTTTTCAATTTTTTCATCTATAACCGCAATACCTTTATATATTCTATTTTTCTTGGAAATTTTAAAAGTGTTTATGGATTTTATTTTAAATTAATGAGAATTACCCTTCTAGACTCCCTTGCCCCATCTCTTCAGTAAATAAATACAATATGTAATTATAAACAATAGTTTAACAAAATAAGTATATAAGTTAATTTAATTTAAAAAGAATGTAAAACCAAAATTATTTTTAAATAAATGTATAATCCAGTTAAAGGACTGTAATAAGGTCCTTTAAGCCCTCCAATACAATTTAAGAAGGGAAACCATCCAAAAGTTGTTCTCCTCTTAGGAATATACTGGCTACGCCTATAGGACCATAAGATTTATTTGATTTTCATGCTAATGTATTTGTATTTATATTTCTAATTTAAAAAAATCCCCGTTATCAATTATCACAAATCCATTATATAAGATGATAATTAAATAATATAAATACATGATAGACACCCCCTATTGGTCTATATATTTCGAAGTAGCCGACTTCCAACACTTTTTATATTTATTCTTGAATATTATTTATAGTAATGGTAAAAAGCCTGTGGGAAGAAATAAATTTGACCAAAAAATACTGCGGAAAAGAACTGTATGTAAAACAATTTTCACAAAAATACAAAATAATAAAAACTATATAAAATCGGTAGAAAAAAGTCTTTGGGAAAAAGTCCTGTATAATTAAAATAATGATAAAAATAAAACTGCTAAGCTTATAGTATCTATGGTTAAGAAGTATTATAATCCTTTTTATTGCGAATGTATATATCCAGAAAGTCAGTAACATTAAGGGGTTAGCAAATTTTGACACAGCGATCCAAAGCTCGGATCAAATCGGGTAGGGTTTGGCATGGGCCTAAAAATTAAATAAATAGTGCTAGGGAATAAAAAATTATAAATCAATATGTTTATGAAATCAGGCCCAGCCGTAAAAATAATAAAAATTTAAGCTAAATTCAGGTATTAATTATTAAAATATTATAACGTGTCATTATTTTACCTTTATGAACAAATATAGGAAAAATTTAAAATCCCTACCATATGCCCCATTCAATTCTCGTATCGTCTAATTAGAAAAATATTCATGTTAGATCAACCATGTTTTAAAGCGAATTTAACAAATTGCTAGAACACCTTAAGAAAGGTATCCAAGGCTTAATTTAGGAAATATAAAATTTAATAAGGGGAATTTCAATTAATTTCGATATATCATAGGGATGAAGAAAATTACATCAGAGATTTGAATGCCTGGCATACTAGAAATCCTGGCCAGCGGACCAAGTTTTTCTAAAAAAAATTGGGCGAGTCTGACAACTTGTTCAAGTATTTTTAGGAAATTTATTCAAAATATTTTTCCGGGGTGGCCCTAAGTTTGTTATTTTTTAAAATGAATAATGAAGTTTATATTCCCTCACAAACAATTATTACATACCAGCCTAAAAACTTGTACAAATTTTTATACATTCCGGGCAAAGGGCTTCATTGACCAGGGCTTACGAGCTGAGCCATAACACCTTCTTATTTTTACCAGGCGAATTCGACTGAATAACGACCAGGGTTGGGCAGCAATTATTTACATATGTAATTAACTCCATAATTACTATTCCTTTTCTTGTAATTAGTAACTGTAATTAATTCTACTTTAAAAAAAATTAATATAATTAATTACATTTTTTAGGCACGTATAATTAGGAATTATCAGTTATAATTGATAATTACATTTATAATTCCTTTTCCTATTAATTAAATTTTATGAACAACGCTTAATGATTGCAATTGTAATAATTCATTAATATTTTTTATATTAATTTTGACGGACACATAATAAGTGACTCTAAACCTTTAACTTACCTTTGACTATGACGATAACTCAATAATTGCTCTTCAAATACAATCTTACATTCAGTAAAAGATAAATCTAAATTGTCAATATTCAATCCCAATTGTTTTTGAATAACTGATAAAAATGAAACAACAAGTGCTGCTTGTGTACTCTGAAATAAAATCGTTAAAAGCCACAATCAAACCATCACTAATTTCTTAAAACATATGAAGGTATATTTTAATATTCACTTTTTGTTCCTAATATTGTTCTTTTAGAGAAAATAATCATTTCAATATTTTTCTCTGAATTGTCAAAAGCAAAGATTCAACAAACTTTACCATCATTTATTTTAAAGTCATTCAAAATAAGTCATCAAAGGCTAAGGTTTAATTGTAAATTTCGTTATAAAACGTCTAAAGCATTGTTGTCTTCATCAGCACCTGTAGAAAGATAATTTATTCCAACTTTGTTAAACAAGTAATATAAAACACGTTTATAACGAACTACTCGAAAAACAGATACTTTTTAAAAAAAGTTATACGTTTTTTTTGAATATTAGTTAAAAATATATTCAAAATCATTTGAGTACCCTAAATCACGATTGTATGTAATAGTAATTTATTACCTTTTTTAGAAAAAGAATTACTATAACTAATTACAAAAATTAAATAATTTTAATTTGGAATTAATTACAATTTTTAAGTAATTATGCCCATCCCTGACAAGGACATATTGAACTTCTTTTTTTGTCATTCACTTAAATTAAAGAAAGAGAATATGTACATAATTAAAAATATAAACATTAATAATATATTGAATCCCTAATAGTTTTTTTTAAAAAAATATTTATAAATTTATTTTTTAAATTCCTATGCATTTTGTTCCACAGTATTTTATTATTAAATTTTTTCTAGTTTTTATTCCTATTTCCCAAGAAATTTTTTGTGCACAATTTTTTCCGTAAGCATTATATCAGCTGTTATCTTGGTCGACTTATTTTTTTCCCACAGGTTTGTTTTTCGGTTACCTATACTATTAGTTAATATTTGTAAATACAAATATGGATAATTATGTCATGAACAAGGAGATGTAGAATTTGAGGAGATCTATAAAATTATTTTTATATCGAATCTGAACCGAACCTGAACTGTTAAATGATTTTCTATCCTAACCTAAACGGAACCGCTATATTGCCTTTGAACCAGTTCGAGCCTCAAGATTTTGTTTTTATAAATTATGTGAAAGTTATTATTAGTATATTGATAACATTCTAACTTAATTTTTATAACCATTAGTATATCACTATTCTACAACATTTAAATATTTTTAAGCTTAGGTTGTGCCCTGGGTCGACTTAATTTTGTTACTTAATTGCTTTTTAGTCTGGGATAAAAAGATTTTAAACTGGAACACCCTATTTTTGATTTATTTTAAGTATTTGGTGGAATTGTTATTTTTCGTATTTTTTTTTCTTTAAATTAAATTTTTTTTCTATTATTTCTATGCTTAGAAATAAATCGAATCCAATATATAATTATTTACATATAGTATTATAAATAATACATCAAAATGTAATATTACTGATTAACAACTGTAAAGGGAAACCAGGAGCAAATCTTGAGCATCACATAAAAAGAAAACACCCTCTAGAACTCAATAAATTTCACAAAATATCACAACAAATGAAATATATAAATCGAATGTAGGTTTATATAAAAAAGTGTTCAAACCCGTTTTTCAGGTTCGAACCGAACCTATCCTTTTTTTCGAACTGAAACCTTGAATCTCTATTTTTATCCGAACCTGAACCTAAACCGAACCGATCATTTCGGTTCAGATCCGTGGTTAAATCCTTCATTTTTATAGACATTTATAATTTAAAAATTAATGGCAAATGGAAATTCAAAACCCATACCATGAAATTGTGATTATTTTTCTTGTTTTCAGGAAACTATTTTTATGACTGGTGGTTAATATATAAAAGATAAAATTTTAATTATGGCGTGCTTTCAATTTGGAATTCTCAAAACTCTAATAAACAAAATTTTAATAAAAGATTTTTTCATTTTTCTAATGACGAATTTTTTTAAATCATTAAAATGAGTTGTTATTATCAAGTAACGTGTTTCTTTCAAATTCATCGTTTTCTTAAAATTTCAGATTAGTAATCTAAGCTTGATCCTTTTAAGTAGTGAAGGTCACGGTTTGGTCCGGACCGACCCGATGTACTCGGACCGGACCATGATCTTTTGAAAAAGATTGATTCAGACCCTGGTTCTAAAATCGGTCCAGGACCAGTCTTTTTATTTTTTTGATATTTTAAAAATAATTTTGTTTTTACCTATTTTAATTCTTGTCTAATGGGACTATAAGTAAAATGATTCTTTGAAAAACTTATGTTTTCATATTGCAAAATAAAAATGAACTACACAAAAATTAAAATAACTCCTCTAGAATAACATAAAATAAAATATACAAAGAAATTAGGTAAAAATAAAATATTAATTAAATAATAAAGCAAACTTAAATATTAATAAAAGACCGGTCCAGACCACGGTCCGAACGGTAAAAATAAAGACCGGCCCGGACTGTGGTCCTTAAAATAAGACCTCCATCGACCCAGTCCGGTCCCGGTTTAAGATCGGTAGGAGGCGTAGACTTTCATTACTTTTAAGTACCTATAAATAAATAAAACTTTTAAAATAAGAGATCTTTTTGACAAATGGAAACATTTTTGCGAATTTTATATTCGCTCAACACGTGAAACATTTTGTTTAAAAATTCTATTTATTTTATGGAATAAAAAATTAATAATAATTTTCATGTTTTTTATAAAATTTATATAAGCGATTATATAGGCACTTATTTTTCTAAAAACAATTTTATAAACCTTTTTCTCAGTTCATTTATCTATGCTCTCAATTTAATTTTTTTATCCCCTCTCTTCCCACCTCAAATTGCTTCAATTTCCCCTCCTTTATTTTCTGCCTCATAATTATCCAAAGCTCTGATTTTATTGAGGCCCAGCCAATAATTCTTACCAAAAAAATTAAAATAATTGTAAGCATCCTTTAACCTCTCCCCCCTATTCCAACGCTCAAATCACCCATGTGATAATAGATAGATTCTCTAAATTTGGTTCATATCCCCATAATTCTAGAAATAATTAATAACGCCTATGAACTCACTATGGAAGACTGTTCCAAAAAAATTAACTCAAATGTAAAATAATCAGCATCAAAATATACCTTGATCATGTTTTATTGACTCTTTTACTCACCATGCTTCTGCTATAAATTAGCCTATTTTTCAATAATATTCTATTCCACCTGAACGGCGTTTAGCACCAGACTTCGTCATTCGTCTAATCACTCTCCAATGTCTCCCTTCTTCAAACACCGAAATTAAATACTTAAGGCCTTAAAATATTTCAACAGACCTCATCAAGTGGTATAGATAGACAACGCCCCTCACATTTCCATTTTTAAGCCCCAATTATCATTTCCATGTTTTCGACTTATTTCATTAATCAATATCCATAATGATAATTTATATCAAAAGATATTCTATAAAATAATTATATTATTTATCGTTTAATAACTTTAAAGAATTCTATCCTTTTCTGGATACTTTTCCTTAAAGTTTTTTTTCATCAGAGATTTTTTCTCCAAGTTTGTTTTCCCTCAACTTTCTCTCCGTTACCTAACAATATAAATAATTTTTATAATAGCTCTGCTAATTTAACAATATGAACATTAAATTTATTTAATATTAACATTCTTCACTTATATTACGAAGTTTTGTTTTATAATCTGCAATATACTAATATATAATTACATAACTACTATATTATAATTTTGTTCAATAAATACTCAAAATTTTTATTGTGGTCAAACTAATGGTAGGTTTTATCTTGAAACTTTTATTTAGCCCACATCATGACAATTGTTTTGACCATGCCCAATTTTTGAAATTTTTAATTTCCCAATTATTTTGCGAAAATTTTTATTTTTGCATATTATATCTCCCCTCAGCCATTCCTCTCCTTAATATGCTCATTCTTCATATTCAATCACCTGTTAACCATATTCAATCTATTCTTCATATCCAATTCATTTCTCATATCAAATCTATTCGTCATATCCAATCATTCTTCTTTATCCCCCCCGGTAATTTTCAATTTTAAATTTCCTTAACCCGCCCGCTCATTGTTTAAATTTCTTAACCTGCACCCGCCCGCCCATAGTTTAAAATTTTTTTAACCCGCCCGCCTGCCCATTCTCGAAATTTTTTTACCCGCATCCACCCGCCCACTTAGATGGGCGTGGGCGGGCGGGTCGAAACCCCGCCCAATGCAGACCTCTAGTTGACACTATAAGTTTTTAATAATTCCTTATAAAAAATGTTAAAAATATAATCTCTCATTTTTTTAAACAAAAATCTATATTAGTTTCTTTTAAATTATCTAGTATCCTACAAAACAGGTAGGGTCAGGTGTTAAAAATGAATACGCAAAAACTCAGGTTGTCAAAATATGTTCTCCCATCATCTAAAACACTAAAAAAAATTTTGGGGCTTATCATATTATTAATGACTGCACCCAGGTCTTCGCCACTTATTTAGTTTAGAATAAATTTAGCAAAACATTTATATTAATTTTTATTTTAACCAATATTTAATTACCCTTGTGAATCAATATATTTTGAAATATAACAATTAGGTAATCGGAGAACAGCTAACGTTAGAAGCCTTGGATATTCAGATGTATTTTGCCTATCAAAAGATGACCTTTGGGAAACTCTTGAAGATTATCCGGAAGCAAAAAAAATTCTCTTGGAGCGAGGGAAAGAGATCTTAAAAAAAGATAACCTTTTGGACGAGGAGGTGTTCAATCAAGTTGAAGAGAGCCAAAAAGAGGGGGGAACTGTTCAAGAAAAAATAATCGATCTTGAAAAAAAATTAGATTCTTTACAAACTCGATTCGCTCGTTTATTAGCTGAGTTTACAAATAGCCAATATAAATTAAAACGAAGAATTACGGCTATGGAAAAGAAGAGTCCTACTAATTTTGATATATCACTTTATAAAAAAAAGAGTTTTTCATCAATGCCTAATATAATTCAAAAAATTTAAAACTTAATCTTATAAATTTTTGTAAGTCCGCCAAACTAATAAAATATCCACGTTTGAATGTTATAATTTTCTATCTACATATTTTGTAATTTTAGAAAAATGCAATATAAAAATTTTAATTTTTAAAACGTGATATTAATAATCTAGTATAACATTTCTATTTTCACTTAACTCTCACAATTAAATGTTACATCTCTCTATAAGAGTTTTAAAATAATAGTGATACTCTGAATTGTATGACCTTAAAAATATTTTTTATTCTGTGATATATGCGAAATTAGTCTTAAATATTTTTTTAATCAAAAAGCTATTTTTACATATTACTATTATAATATGACGTTCTAAATCTTCAAACTAATAATATCTGAGAAAGTTCATCTCCCTTCAAATTTATATAGCTAAAGAGCTGTGTTGATGTTACACCTTTCAGAATTACATACTCAAATGATAAATTTCTTTATAGATATGTTCAAGAGGTTTTGCTCATTTTCTTCTTTATAATTATTCTAAAGCTAACATCTTTTTTACTCCAAAATTAAATAATCCATTTTTATTAATTAAAATTTTCTCCTAGATTTAAGCCAAGTTGCGTTATGGTATTTGATTAAAAAAATCGGCAAAATGGAAACACCAATATATTTTTGATCTATCTATTATTAATCTTTTATAATTAAAAATTAATTAGTTCCAACTTGAATGTTTTTGATAAAAATGTGATTTACAGAAGATATACAATATTGGACAGGTTCTAAATTTCTAAAGCAAAAATGGCTAAAAAATAAGAATATTTATATCCTTAAAATTTCTAAATTAATATTCTTAATAATCATGGTAAAAGTTAGGGTAAAAATTCTTTAAAAATGGGAGAATTTTCTTAAATATTCCATATTACAATTTAGCACAAGAAGTCTGGGCTTAAACAGTTAGACACAGTGACAATTCTGAATGCGAAAATGGGAGATATTTTATTCAAATTCTTTAAATAATCTTTAAAATAGTTTATCAATTTATAATCAAAAAGTTCCCTTTTTTATTCAATCCATACGATTCGTGAACTATTTTACAGGCCTATTAATCCATCGGGTCCAAAAAGTGTAAACTCTATAGCGGAAATTTGATGACACAAACTTAATCAGAACCAATTTTCTTAAATGAGTCTGAACACGTCCAGGTCAAAATATAACGGGTTTGATGGGTCGTCCATAGAACTATCCTTGTTAGGTCTGTACTCTTAAAGTTTTCAACCAATTTTAAATTTCTAAACCCAAATTTGGGTTCAAAGACCTCTTATTTTAAGAAGAATATGATAATTTTGGTATCCCGACCTTTTAGAGAAATCTTTAGAACTTTAATTTACTTTTATAGAGAAACTAATTATAGAGAATATCTTTTATAGAGAATGTCATTTATAAGAATCATTTTATAGAGAATCTATTTAATAAAGAAACTTTTATAGGGAAAACAATTATAGAAAATGTCTTTTATAGAGGATGATTTTATAGTGGATTTATTTTATAGTGTTCATAGAGAAAACAATTGTAAATAATGTCATTTATAGAGAATGATTTAACAAGAATGTCGTTTATATAAGATCATTTTATAGAGAATTATTAAATAATTTTTATAAAGAATGATCTTATATTAATTTATTTTATAAGAGAACAATTTTGTAGAGAATAATTTATAGAGGACGATTTTATGGAGCTTTTATAGAGAATGATTTTATAGAGAATATTTTTTAGGGAATGATTATATAGAAAATGATTTATGATAATTATTTTAGAGATAATCTCGTTTATAATTATAATTTATATTTTTTTATAATAATTATTCATTAAAAATTTCTATCATAACATTGAAAACACTATAAAAAATAAAACACCATCAAAATGAAAATACAATTTCATAATTGGTTCCCAAAAAGGAACCATAATTGTATCTAAAAATTTCTATTTAAGTTTTATGACGTATCAGTAAAAATTCTTTGGTCTTTTTGTAAAATGGCAGAATTTTGGTGCCAAAATTTTTTAAAAACTTATAGGTTAATGGTGAAATATGGTCGTTTTTAAAAATCACCATTTGAATAAATAGGATGTTGTTAAGATTTTTGTATTTATTGATCGTTTTTGTTTCTGCTTATGTTAGCTGATGGATAATGTTGAGCGGAATGAAGGGACACATGTGAAGTCCCATATTAGTGATATTCTGAGGGCCCAAGGTATAGTCGTCATATCATCTAAGCCAACTACATGAGATAAATTTGTACGCTCAAGATGGGCCGGAATGTATGTGGGTGGCTGTTAAACCTAGATTTATTACATGATTCATTTGTGTGCAGCGTCTACATGACAGGATTTTTACTGAGTGCAAACCCCCCTCAAAAACCAATGCCTATCCTCCCCCCCCCAAAAAAAAAATACCCACCTTCGGCGGCGATGTCTTATCATTATTAATTTTGCCTTTTTTATTATAGTGGTACACCTATCATAAATTTTAAAATAAATAACTAAAATTGTTTTATAAAAATATTATGAATATAAAAGAGTTATTTTTTAGATCATTAATATAATTAAAAACCCCTCATTTACAATGAATGCATTATTATAGCATATTGTTTGGCATGAATATAATTTTGTTGAGATCTAACCCTTTTAAATTACATTTAAAAGAATAGCAGAAAGTTTTTTTTGGAAAATAATATCTATGATTGTTTGCAATATATAGATTTGGTCGATGATCAGCAATATCATTGTATTATAATTTATAATAAAAGTATTATTTTAGCAATGTATTTTGTCCTATTTCATCCAAAAATTTAAGAGCTAACCCCCAATAAATTTATACTATCCCCCTTAAAGGCGCATACCCCATGCCATCCTCAATAAAAATTAGATGCAGACTGTTGCTACCTATCCCCTCCCCTGTTCATGTAGACGCTAGCAGTGTGGCGCTGGTGTTGCCCTTAACTGTATATACTGAGGCCGTGCTTACCCTATGAATGAACTGGTGATTTCAATTTGATAGAAGTTTGTGGCTGTATGATGTCACAACTTAGATTTACACTAATTGAAACTCTCAATTGTTCGTCTGACAAAAGATTACCAATATTATGACTAAGGAGTGATTCTAGCTGATAAATCATGATAGATTATGCTTGATAAAAAGAATTTTATTTATATCATTTCCAAAAATGTAAATACATATCTGTCTTAAACTAAAAATATCCATGGTTTATATATAATATTTTATATAATATATTTGAATAGCTACATAACATGAAAGCATTTCCAAAATAAAAATACAAAATAAGTTTTATAAAAATATCTTGCGATAACATTTTGAATATTAATTTTACAAAAATAAAGAAAAAGTTATATAATGAAATTAATATTCAAAACATTCAACATTCTCCCTCTTCTAAGATGCTTCCCCTATAGTTTGATATAAGCTATCATCGAGAGCTTTTATCCAAATTGTTTATCTTCTTGACTGTTCTCGTTGTTGCACAAGTCATATTCATTATCGTTGGCTTGTCTATGTCGAATTTGATTTTACACGTTGGTATGTCCAAATCGTTTTTGAGTTTGTACATTGGTTTGTCCAATCGTTAACTTGTTATCCTTGTCATAAGTTGTTTTCATCAATCGTAATTTCGTCTTAGATCTCTTGCTGTACCCCATTGTTATTATTATCAAATAATTAGGATTAATAATTGATCTAATGAATTATAAGAATAATATATGGAATTAGGAATAATACACAGAATAGATTTAATAATAGAATACTAGAATGGTAAATCAATTTTTTTTTAAGAGTATTATATCATATTTTTCAATGTTTAATTTATTTTTGCGTTTTAGTGTTAAATATTTGTTATATATATAGTTACATAATCTTTTAAATAAACAGGTTATTGTTTTATTCGTATTGATCTAGAAATTGGTGTTAATTTATCTTTATTTATAATATTTTTATTTATGTACACATTTCCCTTCTTAAATAAATTCTTAAAGTTAGAATCTAGATTCCAAAATGTGTTAGAACATATACTTTTTCTCAACTGGTTTAAATGTCTATTTATAATACCTTTATATGTCATGACTTGGAACATCATGTCACTTTCTTTATGTGTTATTATACCTTTATTCCATTTATCATCTCATTGTATTTAATAGCAAATAAAATCTACTACATTCATGGTTCTATTAAGTGATACTGTGATGTCTCTATCTTCTTTTTCCTCTAACGGTTTAAATAAGTCCAATTTAATTCTAATGCCACTATTAAATATTCTTTTAGAGGGTGAAACTCCTGTTGTGTCATTAGTTGTGTTTCTGTAATTAAATAGGATTTTATCAAGTTAAGTATCTAAATCACTCTTAATATTTCTTTTCATGTGCCCTTAAACATTTTAACCCTTATTTCCACCTGGCCATTAGACTGCTGGCGGGATGCGGACGTATACATGTTTTATGCAAAATTTTTCAAAATCCTTATTTGTGAAATTAGTACCATTATCAATAACTATAGTTTCAGGTATTCCAAATAGCGAGATGGTTTTATAATTTCAGTTTTAATGTTTTTGACAGAAACAATAATTGGAAATTTACTATAGCCATCGACTATTATCAAACAATTTGTGAAAAACGAACTCGCATAATATATATGTATCCTTTCAAATGGTTTAGTATGAAACCCATGATTTTTGTATTTAGGATTGTCACAGTATGTATTACAATCGTTACAACTTTTTACTTCCATCTCTATGTCGTTATTCATACCCACATGTAATCCTTAGCTAAGGATTTGATTTTTCCCTCTCCCCAGACCTTCGTGCAATGTCTGCAGCACATTTTTTTCATACTTGTTGGAATTATGATTTTGTTTTTCTTGTAAAGACAATCTTTAATAATACCTAGTTCCAATTCAATGTTTTTATATATTTTATTTTTTATAGGCTCATTATTCTTTATATCATTTATGACTTGCGATATTTTCATATCTTTATAAGTTTCGTCACGTCATAGGCGTCGCCAGGAAGGGGGGGCAAGGGAAAATCCCCCCTTCAGAAATTTATTACTTTTTGTGAATATCATTTTAAGCTAATAAAAAATATCCCCCTTAGTCCCCCCCCCCACTCCCTGACCCGTAAAAATGTATGCATATAAAACAATAATTTGAAAGAAAGGATGTAAAAGTTTATATTTTTTTAAACTAAAACTATTCATCATAATTTATACATTTTTGGAAAAAAGCATTTATATATAAAAAAGTGAACCAAAAATGTTTTTTAAGTAATGGAATATAAACCAAAGATAAGTCTTAAGACAAAAGTGAAATGTATTATAATTATTAATAATAGACCCATAAAATTACTAAATAATATAATATATCAAATATAATTTTTTATTAATTTCCCCCCCCCCCTTAGAAAAATCCTGGCTACGCCTATGCGCCGCGTATTTTGTTAAAGTGGTAGGCAAATTTGGTCGTTAGACATGTTTCCCCAAAATGTTTGCTTCTACGAGTTGCTCAATTATGGGCGTACTTGTTAGTTAACCTGATAAAGGAAGGGTGCCGGGTGTAGGGTGTAAAGGTTGTTCTTGTTTATGATTTTGTGGGATTAAAGTCTAGGTCGGAAGTGGATGCTGCCTTAATAAATGGTGGCAGTGACCTTCGCTTATCTTTGCAAACAAATGCGATATTGAGTGAAGGATACTCCTCAAAATTGAAATCAACCATGGTTAGATGACGGGGATGAATGATATCATTAAAGATATCGTCAACCATCGGAATAATATCGAACCCTATTGGCTCACCATGCTCTGTCATTGATCACTAAAACCAGAAATGAGACATGTACTAGGAATTAAAGTACCTTGAGCGATGGGTCGACAAATTTATGTTAACCATTCCCTTATTCTGGAGTCCTGTCCTGAGAGGCAAGCGAAGCTACATCTGAGTCCAGCACAGGTGGAGAGAAACCCTGCAATTTCCGAGTCACGCTATTAGAATTATGGTGATTGCCTTGCGGAGGCAACGGGAGCCTGGCATTACCTTGGTGGTAAAGACAAAGATCCATGACCAATAAATTTAAGCTATATATTATCATCGGGGTTGTGAAGTTTGAAGCTTATCATATAGTCGTATAGAGGTTTTCTATTTCTGATAGAGTCAGGTAACTGACGAATTGTACTAAACAAAATTCGCTTCTATTTCTGCCCATTTTAGCGTGCCCCTCTTTATTTTTTTTTATGGTCCATGGATCTGAAATAGAAATATACTAGAAAGTTTAAAGATGTATTCATAAACACAATAGAAACAGACTAGACTAATATGGATAATTGACATATCCAAAGAAGTGGGGGCAGGGAAATCTCCCCTTTGGAAATTGCCTACTCTCTTAGATATTATTTTAAGTTAAGTAAAATCCCTTCTACACATTGCTCCCTCAATATATATTCTTATTACCCCCCCCCCCCCCCTTGGAATATATTCAACTATTAGTGGTATAAATAGTTGGAAGCATTACCAAATTGTAACCTAGATCACATCTAGATGAACAATTAATATTTGCCATAGGCTACCGAATTGAATGTTTTGTTCAACTACATATATGCATATAATGTAAAATATCGATTGATTATAAAGGGAGACTAAAGTCAAGACAGACATGAGAGATTAATTTAATCATTAGCTGTTCTCTTGTGAGGGCTCAAGCCTGCTAATTTATCATATGATACCATAAGCCATAAGGCTAAATTGTTTTTATTACTACTTGGTCTTAGATAAATCCTTAATTTGGGACTCACTTGCATTTCTTCATTTCCAAAAAAGGTAAATTCTAATTAGGCTGTCAGCTGAGAAAAAAAAAGTAATATAAATTAACAAATTATTTATTTTACCAATCATTATCTCTTTCCTTGGACATATCTCATGAAGAACCTTAAATATTTTTAAAAAAATATAGGTGGTAGTATAAGAGCCCTTAAATCATAAACCAAGGAATTTTATTTTTTAAAACATAAAATTCAAATTATCATTTTAAAATATAATTATTCGTGTTTTTTATAACTTGTACCACGTTCGTTATAGAATGATCGTCCTTATTTTGATTTAATTATAGTTTATGTTTGGAATATAGTTATATATTATGAATTAAAAAATATATATCCGTAACAAAGATTTAGAAGAAAAATTTATAAATATTTGAAATACCGATTATAATTTAAATTTTAAGAAGAAAACATTTTTATAAAAAAAAGTGAAAAATTTATTTATTTTTATCAAAATCGAATATATTAAAAGAGCTACAATAAGTAAATCTTAAGCCAATAAAATTCGTGGTAAAAACCCAATGTAATACTGCACCCACGCCCCCCTCACAAAATTTTGGCTAATGATGGATTGTATTTAACAATATAAAATGGGACAAAAGTTTTAAAAAATTATATAAAATAAAACTCATCCTATTCCCTTATATTTATGGTTTAATTTTTTGAACCTTTATTTAATCTTATATTTATCTATCAAAATCATATTTTAATATATAAATAGATAAATAATTAAATCCTCTTGCCAATTAAAAATTGTTAAAATTTGTACTATTAATGAATTTCGCCAGCGATTGATCAGCTCATATCTGGTCGCTGATTATCATCGCTTTTAGCGTTCGCATTAGTACTAACTTTGAGCTCAGGGTTAGAACAGAGCATTAATAAGTCCTACAGAAATATAATTTATATTTATATACTAAGTCGCTATGAACGATAATTCTAAAATAATATTTAAGTAATGATATAATACGTCTATCAATGTCAAAATTCTATATTTTAAACTTTTGATAAATTTAGTAAAGCGTGGACGGATCATTTAAACGGTTTAGAATTTTTTTTAAAATTATCCATAAATATTTAATATAAATTCTATTGAACTATTGTAATGCTGCAATTTAATAAATTAATGTATTATATATTTTTATATTTTACAACTTTTATGAATTTGTATTCATAAATAATTATGAGATATTTTCATAATATTTAATACCAACTATTTTATTTTTTTGCAATTAATGTTCACGTTTACTTATGATTTAATTATCCCTTGTATACACCTCTATAAAAGACCATTGACTCTTTTCTCATTAGAGAAATGTATATCATGATCAAATTAATTATATAAATAAGAAACTTGTTACAATAAGAAAAATCTTCGATTTTAATGAACCAGTTAGACAAGTTATACAATTTTAATTTAAAAAAATCAAACTATTATATATCTATATTAAAATATAAGATTTATATTATATGTCAATAAATATTTATCAACAAAATAACTGGTGCAAAATTTGCATATTAAATAAAACAAATTATGTGCAGAGGTGGAATCTGACCTGGGCATTACAGATCTAATATCAATATTTTTTTATTTGAAAAAATCTAATTTCATATTTGATTTGATTGTGTTAAAATGAATGCATGTAAATGTAATTCCTATGTTATGGGAAAGTTTAATATAAAAATTATGTTTTTGATATTATTAAAATATAATAAATATTTTGATAATTATGAATTTTTTAATATAACGTTTTCTTCAATTCCTAAAAATTATATGTATTTTAATTGGCCTCTAAATTATCGATATTTTAATCCCCCTCCACCCATTATCTATATTTTATCTCAGTCTCATGAGCATTTTGCCCACCTACCATTATAATCAGTTCACCTATGGCTATGTGTTTTAACTTAAATACTTTTTTTTTTAAATTTTATTTCCAAGTATTCTGTATTGGTCTCTTAATTTTTTATGATCTTCTAGATTTTGAAATGATTTCCTCAAAATCCTTGTAAAATCAACAAAACGATATCTTCTATTTTTATTAATTTATTAAAATTAGAAAATAATTATGAAATCTGAAAAGAAATAGCTGCAATTGTTCAGCTACATTTCAAAATACCACAAAATATATGCGCTATAGCTTAGTTAGTGGCTTTTGAAAAATATAATTCACTATTGACCAACTCTGGTGACCAGGAATTTTATTTTTTATTAATTAAAACATAAACATGACCCTCAATTAAATCGATGGTTTTATAAGATAAGTAGACCACTGTAAAATTTTCAAGGATATATTTTTCACTCTTTTTTTTATAATATAATTACTATAATTTAAAATTTTGAAAGAAAAGTCAAATGTTAAATAAGGGTCTAAATCTCTATAATAAAATTTATGAGGGAATCCACCTAACCCCCTACCCCTCTTCCCTCTAAAATCCTATCTATTTTATTTTCTACCTATTACTTTATTTTTTAAAGAAGATTTTGAAAATTGCTGCTTATTTAAATATGATTATTTGCTAATCAATCACCAAATAAAATTAAAGTGATTTTTGATCTAACGATTAAATTTTACAGCCTACCATATTAACCCCAAGCCTCTATTCTCTGGGCAGGGATATATCAATTTATGATCTCCCATACAACTGTTCATCATTTCTTTCTAAATTCTATTCAAAACCTAAGTTACAGATTATCAGTAGATATTTATAAACCGCTCTCCATAAAATATTAATAGTTTACTCGAACTCTTAAGCCTTTCATGCTCACTTGAGCCATTAATTTTATTAACAATAGACGGTATAATTTGATATCGTTAAATGAGATTCTTTAGACTAGATATGAAAATTCCCAGAAATATATATTTTTCCCTGGTAGTTTTTATATTTTAATTACACATTTATTATATTAATTTTTATAGTAAATAATTTTTTAAATATTTTATTTATGTTCTTCCCTCATTTTATCCATTGATTTTATCTTAAATATTTTGTATTATTTCAACAATAAATTATTTGGCAATACTTTAATGTCAATAACTAAATAGGAAAATCTTGCAAAATATCGGGCTAAAGAAGGATTATGGAAAATATATGATAGGGAAAGTATTCGATATATCATTCCCTTAATACAGTAAAACTTCGGTGACTTCCTTTCAGAATTTTTTCTATTCTAAAACCATACTGAACCCATTTCACAAAACTATTATATACACATTATAGCGACCTGCTCCCATATATTGATATAATTTATAATAAAACTTGATTATATTTTATTATCAAACTAGGTTATCAATTATGAGTATGATGTTCTACTTTAAAATTTAAATATAAAAGGCATAATTATAAGTCATTATCAAACAGAAAATTATAATAATGTTTTACAATAAATTTTTATTATTTATGAGTATCATGATTTAACAATTAGTATAATACTAAAATTCTTAATATCAATTAAATATCTTCAAACGTTCAATTAAATTCCATTAGATGATGACCAATTTTCACACTTCATAGTCACTTTTATTTGTTCTATTTACAGTCTATCTAAATTTTAGGAGATTGAAACGAAATGGTTGGCCTTTTTCTTTTTTATATACAGTCACCTTGTTTTCTTTTTCATTTGATAAGAATCACCACATATAAATTTTTCGTTCATGCCTGGTATATATTTCCAACTTCTAGTTCACGTGATAAATAATTGACAAAGGAACGAGAAAAAACCTTGGCAGGGATTTTGAACCTGGGTATGAACCACTATTTCGGACCTGTGTGTCAAAACTGTTATGTATAACTGTTCAAATTCAATCTGAATTAAGAAAGGAGTGAAACAAGGTTACACTCTACTTCCATTGCTATTTAATATAGTATTAGTAATAAATCGATAAAAGAAACGTCTACATTAAATTTAATGGAATTAAGATCGAACGATAAACTTTAGCTATAAGTACAACACAGAATTATTTCCTATGCTGATTATATTGTAATAATTACGAAAATATTTGAAAAAACATAAAAATAATGTTAAATACTCGAACACTTTCGCCATAGTTGGCCTTGACATAAATTTCAACAAAACAATTCTTCCATCTCCTTAAGCACTATTAATACCAAGCTTCACAATAAACTCACAAATAAATAATATCGATATATAAATAATTTGCAAATCATATACAAAAATATCTACTTTAGACTATTGTTCGGCTTAGTTTTTAGAGCTATAGCTTCATACGTATACTTAATATCGCCTTTGCTTAGTGTTTAATTTTCATCAATTTAAAAAAATTAAAATACCTATATAGTCAAACCTGACTAATTTGGGCTATTCACTAATTTGTCCAAAATTTTGCCCCAATATTTTTATTAACTACTATGAGAAAATGCCTTGATAAATTGGGCAACTGCCTACTCTGAAAAGAGGGCAGATTTTATTTTTTGGGTCATTCGTAAGATCTCTTCTCTCTAATACCGGAATACATTTCTGGTCAAATCAAGTTTTTCAAATTTAAAAATCTATTTCAGTAATTGATTTAAAATTGAGAAATTCTGAATCTCCATGGATTCCGTATTCCAATACGATATATACATACCTATTTTTACTCATGATTTGATGAATTAATAAAAATATGAAAATTTTTTGAAAATGCTTCAACCAAAATTTCACTTTTTGCTAAACTAAAATTATAACAGATGGTAAAATGTTTTTTAAGTAAAAAGTTATAAGCGAAAACTGGCATGGTAAGCTTTATAGATCTGCATTGCCCGGCATAAAAAATTCGGGCCGAATAACTTGCTTTATTTTTTCTGGTTGGGTTAAAATATCTTCTGGAATTTTTCAATATTTATTAAGCTTAGAATTAGTCAAATTTCTATCTTTTTACTTCATAAAAAGTTATTACAGGATGATATCTTGTACAAATTTTATAGGCCGGACAAAAAAAAATTTACAAGCCGGATCGATAAACCTTTGTTATAAATCTTCGTTGGCCACTCCACTACTCAGCTTATAGATTAGTCCGATAAAATTAATAAGTAAAAATTAAATCTATAAATGAAATTTTTTTAAGTTTTATGTTTCAAAAGGTATCGTCCAAATTCTAGAAAATTTAGATTTAACGATTTTATTTTTTAAATATTATTTTTTCATAGACAAATATAAATTCTCAAATTAAGTAAGTAATTTTTATTTTTTTTAATGGGACCAAAACCTTCTAACAAGGGGTGGGGATACGATACAAGTGGATCATTAAAATTTCGGAGGGCACCTTATGGAAATGTTATCTTAAAGAAAAACCTAGTCAATATCAGTTTTATAATAGGGTCTGTCTTGGGAAGATTGGGACCGTATAGATGTTATTGAATTGTTTTTAAACTTTTCAAATGTGAATGATAACGATTCTTAAAGTTAATTTAAGAAACGATTTTTATTCTTGATTTATTATGACAATTTTTAAATTTGAATAGTTTTTTGGAAATGGATTCCAGTAAGTGTTCTACCCTATAAATTTTATAAAATTGCCGCATTACTCTAATTTATTATAGATTTTTCTTGTAAATTAAAAAATAAAAGTTTACGATTTTCCAGCAAAACTTTACATTATTCTTTATTTTAATTCATGCGTTTAAATTAAATATTTAAAAAATATATTTTTAGATTGAATCGATGTGCTTGCGTTTGAATGTAATGACAATATGCTAGTTCATAAAAATAGATTAAACCAGCTGAAACATATTTACAATGTTGGCACAGCGCTCCTTTTTATTAGCATAATTATTCCATCGATTTTTATCACTATATTATTATCCATCTCCCATATCTATGCTGAGGAGAACGATTTAAAAAATATAACCAATTTTTACGAAATTTTAAACGTTACACAAGACGCCACTAAACGAGACATACGAAAAGCATTCAAAAAATTAGCATTAGAAAAGCATCCGGATAAGAATACGGTTAAAAAATATCTTACATGAGCTATAATAATTTTTTAATTTGGGTTAGCTAGTAAGAGTATGGATTATATCAATCAAAAATACAATTAAGCTAAAATTGTTGTTTAAATTAAATTTGCATTAATTTCAATTGCGAAATTCAGCTTAAAGTGATGAGAAATAATTTATTACAACAGAAATAAAACTTGTAACGATATTAATTTTTTTGAAATTTTTACATTTAAATGCACATTAAATAGAGCCAAACCTATGTAATTCCTGTTTTTCTCTCAGAATCATGGGTATAAAGGGAAACTGAAAAGTAGTCGTGAATTATTTTTTTGGAATTTATCATTTTTCTTATTAATTTTTTTATAAAAACATTATTTAAAAGTTTTTTAGGTTTCGCCGATCCACAATTTTTTCACTGTCCGATATTTTTTTTAAAACTAATTAGATACCACTAATTTATCACCTTTTTACACTCATTTTATAGTGGATTGTACTGATTAGAGGCTGCAAATGGCACACTTTTCAGGCCCTATCCGGTTAGAATTTAGTTTTTACACAGCCAGGCCCGTTCTTAAGGCCTAACCCGATATATATATAGTTGAGCACAAAAATAAGCAAATATTTATAATATTGGTGGTTAAATTAAAAACACTACACTTTATGGATTATCACTTTTATTAAATATTAGAATTTATCAATAATCAAGCCCAATAATTTTTTTACCCGGACAGGCCCAAATAAAAAAAAAGTTTAGACGTTACCCGCTGGGCCGAGTACTAGACTGGGCATTGTAGACATCGTTTTTAAAAATCGAGCCGTTTAACACTACAAAAGATAGGCGAATTACAAGCCAAATAGACCATCATGTCAGCGTGAAGTCAGCCAAACTTCTGGAGGCATTAACTCTGAAACTTATATAATAATTGATGCGTATTTAGTATATTTTAGCATCCCAATCCATTTGATAAATATTTTAAAGAAAACCCCGTTAGATTCAAAATTTATTAAAATAGCAAAGCTTGGCATTAGCTAGAATGAAATTATAGAAGCACGAATATTCGCCAATATGTAATGCCTGATTAATAATTACACTTTTGTTAAGAGCGTACATTTTTCCAAAAAAACCTGGAGTGCTGCTATTTTTCAAAACTCAAGAGCGGTATCTAGCTCCCTTTTGTTTAATCATATATATTGTTTAAAAAATCTTAATTAATATATTAGTGGAGTAGAATAAAAATAATGTTGAGTCGAGTGTTTGTTTATACTTTTTATTTTCGTCATTTTTTAAACTCAAATTATAAAACATAAAGAAAACAATATCATGCCTTTAACAGATACAATAATTATTGAAATGGATGAAACAAAATTTCCATTTATCATACAAAAAATATTTTTCTTTTCTAAAAAAAGATGGGATATTTTTAGACAACTATTGCAAATTTTCAACTGTTTATATTGATGATAACATCGCCACTATTATTCATCCTGCATTAAAATTGAATTGTAAATGTAGAGAATTAAAAAAATTAATTATACAAGAAAATAAATGCCTAAAATTACAGGGAATTTAAAAGATTTATATTTCAATCGTTGATTATCACCCATCAACAAACATGCCATAATAAATATATTTAATAATTATAACGATTTAATAAATATTTTTATACAATACCCCTCTTCCCTCTAGTGCTCCTACTGAGCTTGTTTGGTATTGTTAAACAGGTTTTAAGCGAGAGGCATGGCTCGTGTGAGACTCAAATTTATATAATAAAACATAAATTTTTTGATTTCTTTAATTATACATTTAGATAATGCTGTAAACGAAGCTTGATGAACGACGTTCTTTTTATTTTTAATGAACGTGTTCATGTTTTATCCGTTCAATTTAAAAAAATCTTCTTAAAAAAGTGGTACATATCACCCTAGGGGGTAATAAATGCGTCGGTCTGCTGACGAAGGTAGAATCCTTCGTTGGGGTCGCCTGTAATCTGTTTCTTTCTTTTGCTTATGGTTTTGATAAAATTAAAGGCCTCATTTTCGAACATGCCTAGAGTATTGATAATTATTGACGAATTGCTTTTTTAAAGACTTCTGATTTTCGATGGGAGAAAATGAGAAGTTAGTCTTCGCTGCAAAACCGGTACAAGATTAGTCCCAGGTCTGGGAGACCGTTCGTCCAGGAGATAAGGGATATGGCGCGTAAGGCGTTTTAATTTGAAAGGCCCACTGGTCTAGTAGTGGGCGGGATATTAATTTTTTTAGGGCAGCTAGGAGAATGTTGTTAATGGATTTATGGCGGGGTTGTCGTTCGCGAGAACGCAATGCAAGGGGCCACAATCGACGCAAATGGAGGGTACAAATGCATTAAAGCCAAGGAAAAATATTAATTTAATGTTAATTCGAATCTTTTTAAAAAAGGGTCATTTTTTAATATCAACTGTTTCCTTTATCGCATTTGTTCTGTTCTATAGTAGAGTTTATTAATTTGAACATTATTATATTTACAGATTAGCATAAGCATGGGTTTTATTAATTTATAGTCATCATCTGAAATACTTTACAGTAACATCCTATATTCAATAAACTAATCCTACCAAATATAACATGTGTCTGAAAAGTATAATATCAGTTTCAAAATCTTCAATTTCTAATTTAAAGACCTTGATTGTAATATTTATTATCTTATATAATATAACTATAGCTTATTAATAATTTATTTTAGATTGTTGTATTTCATAGGCTAATTAAATTGTTGATTATTATAATTAATGCATAAAGTAAAAAATCATTAAATGTTATATATTATGTTTTATTGGGCTATGGAATCCATGGGGATTCGAATCTCAATTTTATATAATTTACTGGGATGTTTAAATTTGTGAAATCTGATTTTACTGGAAATATATTCCAGCATGTCTAGGCTAACTATCATAAATATGAGAATTTTTATCAAAATATTCATAGGCTTTAGAAGGTCGAGTATCGCTCCATGGTACTGTTAACAAATAAAAATATACAACGATTTTTTAAATCTTATTCTAATATTCAACTCTTTTTGTGACTAATGCTTAAACCTTATAAAAGTTTTAATTTCATATTATAAATAGGGAAACGAGAATGCACACGAAATTTTTTTAAAAATTAACAAGGCTTATACGGTATTGAGCGATGATGGCCAGAGAGAAATCTATGATAGGGCCGGAGAAGCGGGATTAAGTGATAATAACCAAGGTAACTACCAATCTTACACTTTTTACTCTCAAAGCTTTGGCCTCTATGATGATGACCCCTATGTGCTTACACTTACGCTTTCAGACTACGAAACATACGTTTCTTCGACAACAGATGATGCAGTGGTTTCAGGAAATGGTGAACACTGGTTTATCGACTTTTACTCTGCCATGTGTTCGCATTGTCGCGAATTAGCTCCTGCTTGGAAGCAGCTAGCCGCCCGCTGGCAGGGTGTCATTCACATCGCTGCCGTCAATTGTCTAGAAGAGTGGAACGTATGTGTGCGCCAAGCCTTAACATCATACCCAACCCTCATCCTTTTCCCAAAACGTGAACGCTTTCCTTCGTTTGCTTCATCGAGTCTCCCCGACCTTCATAGTTTTTTAGTAGAACATGTTCCTCGGTATTTCATCGATATTGAAGATTTAGAATTTAACGATAATTCTTTAAAGGAAGGTCAACGATCCTTCACTTTATCCACTATCAAGAATGATAATGTCGACCTTTTCAATCGTGTGTTGTCAATGTTAACAAGTGTACAAAGTAGAGCCACTTATTTAACGAGCAATCTTTTAATCCGGTCCGAAGAAGATAGGACACCTTGCATCATTTTTTTTTGTGAAACAAGTCTCGATAGAGATGATATCAAATGTCCATCCGATATGAGTATGAGGCGTTTTTCAAAAACATTTTTCGGTTCAATAAATGTTTTATATTACAAATGTTTACCCAATAAACATTTAGCTTGTGTAAGAGGAAAATTTTCTACTTGGTATTTTCCATCAGGGTTAACGGATTCTAATAATTTTGAGGGCTCTGCGAAAATTACCCTAGATTACACATATAATATATTACACATTTTGGATCTTATTTCTCCCGATGCAAATATTCATGTAGAAAAATTAAGTGATGATGAAAACATTGATTTAGACAATTTCCTTAATACACATTTAACCAATTTTTTGTGGGGTCAAATATCAAACATTGAAGTTATAAATGTTGATAAAATCCTCTCAATTTTTAATGGCTATTTAGATTCTAGTAATATTTATAATCCCAAATTAAAGCAAGTTAATATAGAGTCTTTAAATTCACCTTTAATACTTATATGTCTGTTTAAACCACTCAATAACTCCGAACTCAGTATACCAAATAAAATTCAAAATTTTTTAAATCAACTTAAAAAATTAAAGTTTATTTTACGTGGGATGCATTTAATAACAACGGACGGTATTAAATTTTTTAATTGCTATGAAAATGATGCTCACATGAATTATTGCAAAAACGTTTTAGGAGTAACTCGTTCCCCTACCTCTTCAACTATGTCAGTAAATCAAAAACATATTGACGCGGTTATAGTATTAATAAAATCTTTAATTCCTTTCAATTCCGCTAGTATATCATTTTCATTTAAATCATGTTACCATATATTCTATGGGGATATAGATAAACATATTGAAAATTCCCAATCAAATAGCCTTATAACTGCCTTGACGGCTTTTGTCAAAGACAGTTTGATAAGTCCTGTAATATCCGTAAAACCAAGCGATTTAATCGGGTATAAGGAAAAAAGTATCCAATCGGATTATATTCAATATTGGATTGTTGATTATTTTACACCATGGTGCCCACCTTGTATGCGACTTTTATCAGAATTAAATAAAGCGTCAAGATCCAAATTTCCAGAACCAGCTATTAAAATCTTATGGATATTCGCGTCTCTTGATTGTGTAGAATTTAATTTATTTTGTCAAGCTGAAATGCATATATACTCCTATCCATCTTTAAGATTATATAATTTTTCCATGATTGATCCTTTGTTCACCGAAAATCCTTTAAATTTAGAAGGCTTTAAAGATTCGGAAACTATAAAAGAGTATATTGAAGAGATTATTGAGCCCTTACCAATAATTCTTTTGACACCAGAAATATATCAATATTCAATTTTGTCGCAAGAAAATAACGCTTTATGGTTTATATATTTTGGGGCTAAATGGTGCGGACCTTGTTTACAATTTGAGCCTGTTTGGAAAAAATTGTCAAAGGTTTACTTATCTATTATTAATATATAAAAACTAAGAGCTCTAAATTTTTGTTTTAAAAGGAATTAAAAAAATCTCAAATCGGTACCATGGATTGTGGAGTTTACAAAGATTATTGTAGAGAAGTTAATGTACGCACGTTTCCAAGAATTCGCGTTTACCTTAACTTTTCATACTTCAAGTAATTTTATTTTTATAAATGTCATATAGCATAATATATTTTAAAGTGATTATCCAGATGACGCGTGGCGGGATCTGACATCGGTAAAAAATTGGGCAACCAAGTATATTCCAAGTAATATAGTTATCCTTACACCTGAAGCGATTATGGATATCGAAAAAAATATCTTACACAAGCATGGCGACAGCAAGCCTTGGATAATAGATTATTATACAAATTGGTGTGGTCATTGTTCAGCGTTTGCCCCAGAATTCGATGAATTACAAAATGTTATATTCTTTTAAAATATTATCTTAAACTTTTCATTTATCATTTTTTTTTAAATTTAGAGGATGGGCAAAATATTAAATTTTGGAAAAATTGATTGTGCCATACATGAATTTTTTTGCCAAGAACAAAATGTACCTCATTATCCAACTATCAGATTATACTATTCTCAAGTTACATAAATTAATATTCATTATTATATTGATAATTAGAATTTTAAAGACTTGAATTCGATGACTGCCAATGACCTTGAGTCCGAAATTTTTAAAGAGTTTTCAGAATTAACCAAAGAATCTTCTAATAATTTTAATATAAAAACGGAATTATAATCTCACAAAAAATGCTCTTTAGTTCAAATTTTCTTATTAATAATTATTATCTTTTTCACAATTTAATATATCAAATAATTTATCTAATAAATATAAGTTATATATTTTTGTGATTATAATATAAAATTCGATATTATTCCCACATATTAATAATTGAGCGTATCCTAAATTAAATATTTATTAATAGTTAAAGTTTTTATTTACCCTTTTCCTTCACTCATTAAATCAAACGCACAATTTATATTTTTTAAAGAAAAATGATTTGTTATAAAGGGATCTAGTTCAATTTTTCCATTCATAAATTCAGTAACAAGTCGAGGGACATTATCTCTTGATTTCCATCCTTAATTAATATTTATAGATATGAATTAATCATTTAGGTGACCTCCAAATGCACATCCCTTCCATACTCTGCCAGTAACTAACTGAAATGGGCGAGTGCGTATTTCAGCTCCAGACCCTGCGACTCCAATTATGACAGAAGTACCCCATCCTTTATGACAAGATTCTAAAGCTTCCCTCTATAATTCAAGATATATGTATATGTATACTAATATGAATAAGATACCATAATATCCACATTGCCTATGCATTCAAATGTATAATCTAAGCCACCGTTAGTTATATTTATAAGATGTTCCTTTGTTGATATTCCATTTGGTATTTTTTTTGGATTAATATATTCAGTTGCTCCAAGATGAAATGCTATATTCAAATAAATATATGTTCAGGTATAAAAAATTAAGAAAAATTTTAGATGTTTCAAAATTAAAATAGTTAATTCTTTTTATATGTATTTTAAGATATTTCTGAAATGATAAAAAAAATTAGCCTAGAACGATGCTCCTAGAGTATTAAAATGAAAAAATTATTTGTATTGGATCCACTCATTTTACATTACAAAGATGCACCAATAAAACTCATACCACCTATAAGTTACATCAAAATCTTTTATAGGTAATAATTCTAATTAATTACTACTCCTTTCTTTCACATTTAGGGTGTGTTCTAAATAAAAAAACTCGCATTCATACATTATGCGCCTAAACTCGATTTCGTAAATTTTATAATGAATTAATTTTTTTAAATAAAATTTTGACTTGGGACACACATTAATAAGAATTTGTTTTTATCAAAAAATTAAAAATCAATTATAAATTTTTATTTCTTTAGTTAAATAATCCTTTTTTTATTCATTGATTTTATTATTAAAAAAAGAATTTAGACAAAGGTCAATTAAAAAAACAATTAACGATTATAAAAATAATACTTCATATCATAGGCGTAGCCAGGGGGGGGGCAAGGGGAAATTCCCCCCCCTTCAGAAATTTATCACTTTTTGTAAATATCATTTATAGCTAATAAAAAATATCCACCTTAGTCCTCTCCCCACTCCCTGACCCTCATATATGTATGCATATATCTTAAATAATAATTTAAATGAAAGAATGTAAAAGTTGATATTTTTTTATAAAACTATTCATCATAATTTATAGATTTTTGATAAAATAAATTTATAAATATATAAAATGAACCAAAAATGTTTATAAATGGAATATAGGCCAAGGATAAGTCTTAAGACAGAAGTGAAATATATTATAATTATTAATAATAGATCTATAAAATTACTAAATAATATAATATATCAAATATAATTTTTTATAAAGTGAGTAATTTTAATTTATTTATCTCAATAAAAGTAAAATATAATTATAAAACTATTGATAAAATTAAATCATAAATTAAAAAAATATTAAAGCACAATATAAACAGTGGAATATTATATGTCGTCGATTTACAATATATCTAATTATCAAATGACAATCAAGTATTTTTACCAATATAGCGAATTATATATTTTATAGAAAACTATAAAATATTGATAAGGACATCAGAAAATATCTTTTAAAGACATTGTGGGATGAATAATATGAAGATTAAATTTATGTATACTTAAATAAAATAGATGGCGTTAAATAATTGTATGCATATTGTTGCTATATTTAATATTAAGAGCATTGATTAGTAAATTTTGTCAGATTATTAACTGTAATATATTCTCTAACTGTCAAATATGTCTGTAAAATTGGAATTTTACCTAGTATTTTATAACTAATTCTATAATAGGGTAAAATCAACTATATGTCTACTTACTTATTATATATAAATTTCTTATAATTGTTTGGAATAAATTATTACCATGCTTTTATATAAAGGTATATACAATACAAGTAATTTATTATATTTTTATTTTATATAAACTAATAAAAATATATTTCATATTTGTTCCAGGCTTATTTTTTTTATTAAAATTTGTAAAAATATTTTATGACTATATATAGGTTAAAGTAACCCGGCCGAAGGCCGGGAAAAGCGGGCCGAAGGCCCGCCCAAAAGGGGGTCTGGGGGCAAAGCCCCAGTACTTTTTTGATTTCCCCCCCCCTTATGAAAATCCTGGCTACGCCTATGGTTCATATATATTTTAAACAATAAGAGGTGGGTTTATTTGCATTGCTATATGGACCCATGAATAGCCATTGTAATGGCTTGTTTGAAATAGAAGGCTTCATTATGATTGACACTTATTTGGCTTAATTTTCTCCCTGATAATGTGATAAATAAGGAATTCCTCACCAAAACCAACCAAGAGTATTGATGATAAGTGGGATAAAGATTATGTTAGTGATGCTTAGGCCTATTCAAAAACGTATTCGAATCGAATAGTGCATTATGACAAATTTTTTTATTGCAAATTTGATTTCAAACAGAAAAAATTATAATAATCCGATGACAAATAAATATAATCAAGTTATAAACAAAATTAAAATATTATATTATTCATTTAATTTATAATTTTAAGCCAATTTTTAAGGCAAAGGGTTTTTCTTATATTTTCATCTTTATACGACATGCGGTTTTTTGACAACAAATTAGTGCCAACTGAGAAAAGTCTTTCACACGCAGTTGATGTTCCTTGTATAGATAAATAATCTCTTGCCATTTTTGAGAGTATGGAGATCCTATGTGCATTTGTCTTCCACCACATTAATGAATCAGTATCACTCTTTGATCTTGGTTCACTCAGGTAAAAATCGATTTCACATAGTTGATTATGTATTTAAATAGGGGTAAATTAAATACCTGTATATCTGCTGTAAATCTCTTTACACTTGTCTGTTAACCTGGATATATCAATATCATAATCAAGAGATATTGATTTAAAATATTCTATTTTGAGCCTGGGATCCAATATTGTAGCTATTATTGTATCATCTGCAGTTAAATTGTAATAGCCCAACAATTTATCACATGCCACTTTGAAATCATTGTTAGAGGTTTTATCGAAACAAGGTTTCTCATTTTTTAAGTGTTCAAGAATTAGAATATAATAGGGTATAACCAAATTATAAGTAGGATAATTTTCCCCACAAACCATATTTGTAGTCTCATACAAAGGCAATAGGATAGATTTAATTTTTACAAGATCGTTCCATTCCTCCTGTATGTTATGTTAATAAAGTATTATTTACCTATTTATAAATTTTAGTTTACCTCTGATAATTGTTTTTCTTGAAGAATTATAATATTAGTTATAACTTCATTAACTAATTTTTTTATAGCAGGCTTTAACAATAAGCCCCTTTCAATCATTTGGTAGGTGCTATTCCACCTTATTTCACAATCCAATTTGGGTTTTAAAAAATTTATAGGAGGATGTAGTGAACTACATATATTTTTTAATAAATTTAATTTTTTAGGAGAATTACGTATCATCCTAATAATGTTTCGTAGTTTTAAAATTGATGGATTTAAAATTTTTAAAATTTCTTTGGATATTAAATTAATAACATAAGCAAAGCATCGAATGTGCCCTATTTTTATTGATGGATATTTTAAAGAAAATGTATCAATAAATGTTTTATTATTAGTAGCATTATCTAGAGTTATATAAAAATTTTTATTCTCCAAATTATAATTTTTAATTATTTTAATAACCTGAATGTTGTTCATTTATTGGAGCAACATTCAAAATTATGTTATTTATTTTAAAATAATCATCAATAAAATGGGCTGTTAACCCTAAAAAAGGAACCTGAGTTGGGCTAGTCCAAATATCAGATGAAAAATTAATCTGACTTTTATTTTTGGATATTATATCCTTTACCAACTGTTCTTTTTCTACAAGTATTATACATATGCAATTTAAGAGTATTGGAGCATATTGATTTTATAGAAGAATCAAGTTCATTTATAAAATTTTTAAAATCAGGTGAATTAATAATTTTAAAAGATAAATTATTATTAATAAATAATTTTAGTAAGTTATCTTTATAATTTATTTTTTTAGATAAAGAAAAAGATGATATAGGCTTTAAAAAGTGTCAATTTTATTCCTGTTTTTACAGAGATGTGCATGAAACCTATTATAACGATTAATAAGAGGAGATGTTGTTTTGCCTTTGCATTTAATAATGCTCTTGCAATGATTGCAAGCAGCCTTTTCACCATTGAGTTGATATTGATCATATAATCGCTCTTTTTTGTTAAGAAATTTTGTCAATAACTATTTCATCAAAATCATTCTCCTCTAACATAATTAGGCTAGCTAACAATATTTTATTATAAAGATATAATATATTTTTATATACCTTTGGTTTGTATATATTTTTATATACTTTTGGTCTGTGTAATTTTTAATATAATTAATTTTGAAAAAATACGGGAAAATTAAAATTAAAATTTTTGCTAGTCTTTTTATAAACACATCATCTGTCAGATTGGCAAGTTATCAAATAGATATGACAAATGTTAGATTATTTTTAAAAAAAGCAATTTATTAAATATTACGAATAATTCGTTTTATTCGAATCGAATAAATGATTATTCGTATTCGGATAAAACAAATAATTTATTATTCGTATTTGTATCTATTCGAATTTTTTTTGAATAGGCCTAGCTGATGCCTGAATATTTGCTTCTTATTTTGATGATTTCGCCGAACTGAGGCATTTCTGCACTTTATTAATAATAGAAAAATGGGGCTATGCTAATCCACAGATTTTTCATTAATCCAATATTTTTCAGTTTTCATACAAAACCGATCTGATAATGGCTACTGATCTATTTATAATATTATTAACTGTAAATAGGGCAAAAAACACTTAAATTTCCAGTTCTTCATGGCTAGGGAAATATTTGCTGCATTGTCATGAATAAAGAAAAAGTAGGGTTATAGTGCGCACAAATTGAGCGTTGCAAAGCTCCGTTTTAAAAGCTAATAATGCATTTTAAATGGTATTGTACAAATTGGATTTTTTTACGGCAAGCGTTAAAAAAAAGAAAACTGGTTTGATTTTTTTTATGCTTTTTTAATTTTGAGCTAAAATTTGAAAATGCATACAAAATTGTAAGTATAATTTATCTCATATATTAATTGATATTATATCATTTAGAATATATTAATTGATATTTATAAAATTTTAGAATATAAATTATATTTTAGATAATTTTAGAATATATTATTTGATATTATTATTAGAATAAATTTTAGATATCAACCATTAGTTTAAGGCAAATATATATGAACAGTGTAAATTATATTTTTATTAGCATGGAGATGGAGTTTCCACAGCATGATCCAACTGTATCATGCTTAAAGAAGAAGTTGAATATGAATATATAAAATTTATGAAGCCAATGATAAAGGACAGAAAAACTACTGACAATTTTAGTACTAAAGAAACTACACCAAAGACTACTGGTTCAAAAATAAATGCACTCATGGGTGAAAGACTTTTGGCTCTTTTGGAAAGGGTGCCATCTGAAAGCCAGTAAAATATATTTTTTTATCTATAAATTTAATATTATTTTAGATTGTATCTACAATCAATGGCAGAAGGCTTGGAAAGTAATTGAACCTTACTAGACACAAATTAATCCAGGACGTACCGATTCGTTGGGATTCTACCTATTACATGCTCGAACGATTGATAGAACAAAAAAATGGCGGTACCTGTTCATTATCGATAATTCTAATTTGGGAAATTTCTCATATGAGTGGGAATTACAGAATAGGTAATTGATGTTTTGGAACCAATTCAGAGGGTAACAAAAGAAATAAGTGCAGAATCATGTTCAATTAGCAATGTTATACTCTTTGTTGAAATTCTGAAAAGTGAATTAACGAATAATGGAGACACAGATAGAGGCGTGCAGACCATGAAGGATACCATTAATAATCAATTAAAAACTTGGTTTTTTTATATTTATGATGATGACAATTATCTTATCGCAATAATACTTGATTCTCATTATAAAGAATTCTTTTACCAAAAGACATTTCATATATTGAAAAATTCAGGATTACATGTTACCCTTTTATTAAAGGTTATAATAATGTTCAACTTCCAACTTACAATAAAGATTTGCCAGATTTTCTATTTTTTAAAAAAAATTTAGACTTTATTGATAACTTATGTACAATGAGAAAAATGTTTCATATAACATTTAAAAAATGCTAATTTAATTTAAGGGATGCTTATAAATTGAAAATCAAGGAGAAACTATTAATAAATAAAATAATTGAAATCGATAGTAATGTAGATGGCTTGCCATACTTGAAAGTAATCAAGGAATATTTAAAATAATCTTTATATCTAGACTAGACAGTTATTTCCATATTTTATCTAGTATTGCTTTTTTGGGTTATGTGATCCATTTGTTTGGGTGGTATCTGATTATTTTTCAAACCCAACAAATGGTTAGGTTTGTATGAAACTATTTAAAAAATGCTAATTTTATATCTGTTTTTATTTAGATAACTCTAATAACACTGATATTGATATTATATTACCTGTGGATCTACTTGACTATTAGAGAATTAATACTGAAAAGTATCCAACTATGTCAAAACTTTCATGTAATTTTTAGCGCCTCCTGCAACAAGTGTCCCATCTGAGTCTGTCTTCAGTATGGCAGGGGATATAGATAGTTCACATTGTAGAAGCTTATTGCCAGAAAATTTAGAGGCTCTCATGTTGATTTTAAAAAGCCTAATATATTATAATTTAATATAAAATATTACAATTTTATAATTCATACCAACATATATATATATTATTTTAAATAAAATGGATACATTATTAAATATATGTTTTTTATCTATTATAATATAAAAAAAATATAATATAAAAAAATTTTAAAATTATAATCTTAATTGTATATATAAAAATAATTTAAATGCAAAATTCAATTTTTTGCAGAAAATATGGATTTTTTAATTACATTTGGTTAAGAGGGGGGGGGGGTGTAAAAAATAAATATAAATATCAGATCAGATTTGAACCAATATTGGATTGGATCAGCACAGTCATAAAAAAAAGATTTTATATTTAGTTATAATACAAGTATTTGTATTAATGCCCAACTCTGACAATATTGTTATTAATAAATCAATTACTTCAAAAAGATTATACCTAATTTTTCCTTATCAGGATTAGTGTCAATGGCAATTATCCGTGAACATTTTGCAACTTTACATCCCATAATAGTAGCAAGACCTACAGCTCCTAGTCCCCATATAGCACAAGTAGAATTTGGTTCAACCTTCAATTTTATCATTTAATATATTTAAAAAAAAATTAAAAATCTACCTTTGCAGTATTCAATACTGCTCCATAGCCTGTAGAAACTCCACAACTAAGTAAGCATATCTTATCTAGGGGTGCATCTATATCAACCTTATTTGTTATTTATGCAGGTAGTATATTACTAAAATACTTTTGCTACAGATATTTCTGGAACCACTGTATATTGACTAAATGTGCTAGTTCCCATAAAATGAAACAATTTTTGGCCTGAACTGGATATAAATCTAATTGTACCATCAGGCATTAATCCTTTTCCTTGAGTTTGCCTAATATAATTAATACAATTTAATACTAGCAAAGCTGTTTACCTAATAACACTGCATAAATTTGTTTTAGGATTTTTACAGTATTCACAACTTTTACATTGAGGAATATAAAGTGGAATTACATGATCACCTGAAATTATATGCTGAAATAATGGAAATAAATAATTAACCTGGTTTAACAGACTCTACATCCTCACCTATACATTCAACTATTCCAGCCCCTTCATGTCCTAAAATACAAGGAAACACTCCTTCCGGATCTAGCCCATCTAAAGTATATTTGTCAGTATGACATACTGCAGTTGCTATAATCTAAGCATAATTTAAATGGGTAGAACAAAAATAGCATACCTTAATTCTAACTTCTCCCTTTTTTGGAGGATCAACTTCAATAGTTTCAATTTTTAATGGTTCATTTTTACTTGTAGCAATTGCAGCTAAGCATTTGATCTTTATAAAAATGAAAAAATATTGTAATTATATATTAAACCGTTTTCATTTAAGGAGAGAATTATTTGTTTACCTAGCTTATCTAAAACAAGTTGATTGACATTGTAATTTACGATGTGTCTCAAGGGAATAGATTTGCCATAAATGCATATGCTATTTAGGTAGAAGAAATAAGCAAAAGTAGGCCGGGCTTATTTTTTTTAAAAATTAATATACGCAAAATAAGAAATTTTTTTTTTATTTCTTACGTGTTAATTATTTTTGGGTTTTACATAAGCCGAAGAATAATATTTTTATAATCTAAGAACTTACTAATTTAAAAATAATATTTTAATAATCTAAGAACTTACTAATTTAAAAATAATATTTTAATAATCTAAGAACTTACTAATTTAAAAAATAATATTTTTATAATCTAAGAATTTACTAATTTAAAAATAATAATTTCATAATGTTCGTTTTTCTTTTTTCCCCCCTTTTATACCATTTCTCCCTTCTGAAAGATTTATTAATAATATTTACTAATCATAAAAATAAAGAATATTAATTGTTTTTTGATAATGATGACTTGCTAAATTAACAAAAAAAATTACAAAGAATACACAAAATTAAAAGTTATATGACAATGAATACGCAAATTTCAAGACAAATGTACAACAAAATATATTGTATGCCATCTTTAAAATTATATAGGCAATCTCCTTTGCATTTTGCAGTTTCAACCTAAGATCTGGTCAAGGAATTTTTAGCTGACAACAGAGGGTAAATTATTTTTTTAATTTTTAAGAAGCTCCAATAAGAACTTTACAACTGGATTCTTCTTCAAACCCACCATTAAATCTATTACCTAATGTAGATGGTAATTAAATATTTTTGTTGAATAAAATTAAAATAAATATAGATGATTTAAAAATAATGGATGCTGTATATCGCAACTATATCCTTTTAACATTTTTCCTTTTCAAGAAAAATGTGGATATAGTCGGATACCTTGGCCTTTATGGCTTTAGTATCCCTAAGGCTTTATTGACAAAATCAAATTTTTGGTGATGTAATATATAAGAGAGAAAACGAATTTTCACAGAAATATATATATTAAGAAAATAACAATAATGAAGTTAAAACACATTATAATGAGTATTTATAGAAATAAATATCGTCGGATGAATCGTTCTTAAGTGTTTGATTATTGTTCTAAAATTTTTGATTTTGTTGCTTGCCTTTAGAGTAAGTCGTGGCTTATTATACTGATTTGTTCCAGTTCGTAAGTAATTGTGCTAGATTGAAGAGAGAGTCCGGATATCAGCGAGGGGGTTGTGTCTATTGAGGGGACTGTTTCTTCGCCGAATAGGGAGACTTCCTCATCTTGGAGGAGCATGTGTCCTGTAAGTGGAGCGCCTTCGAAGAGGGCGAGGCTGTCGTTGTTTCCGATCCATAATCTAGATGGTTCGTCCGCCGGGTTTTCATCAGTGGGAATCCAACGAATATTTTGAGATAGTGTGGTAAAATGCGGCAGTCCGAGCTTGGATAATATGCTGGTTATTATTATCTCCAGAGATGGTGATCTTGACCCGCCTTTCCTGAGGGTGTAATAGGTGACCGTGGAGTCTGTCAGGATAATGGGAATTTGACCATCTTTGTCCAATGCTAATAGGGCTCCCACACCCGCGGCCAGGATTTCTTTACCATTAATGTGCTGAATGGCATGCATAGGGACGTTGAGTAGTAACGCTGCTTCGGTGTAAGAAACAGACATGTCCTGGTATCCCCAGAAGGATATACCGATGTGGCTGTCCGAAGCATCTGTGTAAACCGGGTTGGATGCTGGGTATCGAATCTGAGGAGGATACTTTAGGGCTTCAATGATCATTTCCGCTTTTCTGAATGCTAAGTAGGTATCTACTAACGGAGTCATTTGGCTGTTCATCATTGTGGTGTAAAAGGGGGAGAAGAGCCTTGACATTCCCGTGATGGTATAAGCGAAATGGTTGACAACCCCGAGGACTTTGGCTGCTAGAAGTCTGCCTATTTCGAGGTGTTGATAGGCATGTTGTCTAAAGATACTAAGGCATCTTTCTAACCTGCGTCTAGTGTTGTTGTCCGCACTAAGGGTTTTGTTATGCAGGTCGATAGGGACTCCTAGGTAGGTTATGAACGGCGTTGGGTCAAGTACCGATTTTTCCAGTGATATTTCGAGGCCCCATCCTTCAAGGGTACACCGGAGGGATCTCGTAGACCATTTGACGTCAAATTCTGATTCGCCGTAAATTAGGATGTCATCTAGGTAAACGTTGTAGGATGCTCTTCTTACCGTTTTTGCGCAAGCATCGAGGATGATTGACTGTAGGCAGTATGGGCTAAAGGACGCTCCCATGGGTAATACTTTGTACGCATAGTATTTGTTATCGATCTTGAACCCGAAGAATTTCCTTACTTGATGAGCTAATGGAATTGAGAAGAAGGCTGATTTTATGTCAATTTTGCATGCGAATTTGGCCTTGTGTAGGTTGACTGACATCAGCGGGATCGACTTCAGTTTGAACGGGTAGTGCAAGAAGTTTTTGGACGTCTCCGAGAAGTCACTGATCACTCTGGGGCTTCCATTAGCTTTAGGAATAACGTACAAAGGTGAGCATAGTTGCGTGGAGTCAGTTTCCACTATGACATTAGCCGTTAGCATTTGTTGTACAATATCTTTGTATCGGCTGGATATTGCATGGCTATGTCTATGCGTGTAGTAGTGCCCTGAGTTGTTTGCAATTTTGAGGGGGTCTAACCGGGGTCTAAAGCCCCGGTTGGCTACACGTCTTGTGAAGTTCGACATTAGTGGCCCGGGTGTGAGCCTGGCGGTGCTGATGTCGAGTTGTGGGCGCTCTCGGAGTTGCTCGTCCGTGAAGGTCACATGAGTGTCAAGATTGGCTATTCCATTAAGAATATCCGGAAGGTTGGGCACTGTAGTTGACCCCACCTGGGGCATACCAGTATCCTCTTCGGCACTGTAGATAGAATCGACAAGGCCGGAGATGATGGACGCTTCCTCGGGGGCTCCACTGCTGTTAGAATTCCAAGATGCCGTCGATGCATTTGGGATCCACCATTCAGGTATGCCTGAATCTTCCGAACGGAAGGAAGGAGTGTCGGACTCCGTTGCAGCTGGTTGACTGGCAGATATTAGTTCGGGTATGGACGGAATGTGATTATTGTTATTGTTATTTTCTTCGTCCGAACTAATACCTTCATCAGGAGAAAACAGTTGATGCCTCAATTCCCTTAGGTAGAGATTTACCCTTTTAAGCCAGTCGGGGAATTGCACTGCTTCTGCTCTTCGGACCGGAGGACCGTTGTCCGGATTCGTGACTTCCGTTAGATCATGAATGAGTGGCCCTAAAAAGGGCCTTTGGGTATTAGGGGGGGGAAAGTGGAAGAAGAAGGGAGAAATAGCGTATTAGTGTCACGGCTGGGGTGTCTATTTTCTTTTCTTACCCCTGGTGGAGGCCGTCTCCTTCCTGGCGGGTCTCCTTTGGTAGGATGTTGAGGGCCCTCCGCGGGCCCTTGCTCGAAAGGGATCTCTGGCTAATTTGATTTCCTCTGAGTCTAGGAATTTCTCTTGGTATGACATATCATTTAGTCTGGCAGTATCCCAGCCCCAATGGATGGCTAGGCCTAAGATCCTGACCCTTTTTGTCATTGAGTCAACTATTCCTGGTTCCGTGTTGATCGTAATCTGGTCAACTACTTCTTTAATATGCTTGAGCTCGTGTCTATCACGTTCGCTAGCTTTGCAGCGAGGTTCTAAGAGATCGGTACACACTCCCGCCCAATTTCTTTGTAATTTAGCCACTTTTTCTTCTATAGTAAGTGGTACGGGCGGTGGTCTTGGCAACGGAATAGATGGCACTGGTGCGGGAGACGGAGGCCTGCTCCTTGGCGGAACGTATGGTGTTGACGTCATGTTGTTCCTTGATGGCGATCTTTCCCGGTTGGCCTGTTCCATGGCTTGCATACGCGTTGACATGTTCTGCATTTGTTGCGAGATGGTCAATATAGCTTGCGTAAGAGCTGTTGTGTTATCCGGTGGATTGATGGATAACGAGTTATCGGGAGTGAGGATTATGGTGAAAATATACAATAAATTAATATAGATATATTACTAAAGGTCTATATATCAATGGTCAGGGAAAGTCCTTCCTCTTTTACAATAATCATCTATATCATACCCCCTCCCCTTCAGAAATTTATCACTTTTTGTGAATATCATTTTAAACTAATAAAAAATATTCCCTTTAGTCCTCTTCCCCCCCCCCTCCCCCACTCCCTGACCCTCAAAAATGTATAGATATATTTTAAACAATAATTCGAAAAAAGAATGTAAAAGTTGATATATTTTTATATAACTATTCATCATAATTTTTACATTTTTGGAAAAAAGCATTTATATATATAAAAAGTGAACCAAAAATGTTTTTTAATAAATGGAATATAAGCCAAAAGACAAAAGTGAAATGTATTATAATTATTAATAATAGATCCATAAAATTACTAAATAATATAATGTATCAAATATAATTTTTTATAAAGCGAGTAATTTTAATTTATTTATCTTAATAAAAGTAAAATATAATTATAAAACTATTGATAAAATTAAATCATAAATTAAAAAAAATATTAAAGCACAATACAAACCGTGGAATATTATATGTCGTAGATTTACAGTATATCTAATTATCAAATGACAATCAAGTAATTTTTACCAATATAAGAATTATATATTTTACAGAAAACTATAAAATATTGATAAGGACATCAGAAAATATCTTTTAAAGACATTGTGGGATGAATAATATGAAGATTAAATTTAAATATCATTTTTACTAAAATTAAAAACATCAGTTTAGACAACCATGGCAGACTCGACCATATTATAGCAACCAAAGATTTAACAACCAAAATAACTATCATTTTCCATGACAAAACTGATATGTTCGCGGCCACGACCGCGGGCTGTTCTATCGGGGGATAGGGAGAAGGATCGGTAGAATTCGAGGGACCGGGATTTTCTGGTAGGTT